CCTCTCTTTCCTTCCCCTCCCTCACACTTCAGTGTGGCATTTCTTGGCCTTCTTGCGCGCTTTTTTTCCATATGGGCATTGGTACTTCCCTGAGGGGCGAAATGAGTGCAACACTATTACGATGATATTTTGATCAGCTGTCTATTTTATATTATCTTGTACCCTTACGGCGCTGCTGCATCTGGCAACTTTTCCATTCGCCTCTGTTTTGGGCCTGTTTTGGTAGCATAATCCACAGTAGGCATTCTTCATCGAATTAGCCGCCTTATCGGTACACATTTATCATTAACATAGTTGCCATCATTCAGTAATCTGCTTTTTCCGTCTGTTTTTCCTAATCTTGTCACACGGACAGCCGATCCTGGCATACGTTGTCTCGATAAAATCGTGAGATTTGCCATAAAACTGCCGTATTTTATTGGAAGTTTGCTGGCGTCTGTTGTGCATTGTTCCATGTTCGTTGAATTTCGTTGACTTTTCTGTAAATGTAGCATTCAGTATTGCGTTTTTGCAAACAAAACTGGTGGTACAGTGGCACTGAAAAGCCTTGTTTCCACAATCCAATCGATGTTAGGGTTGAAAAATTTCGTAATTTGACGAAGATTTTCCGTCCTGTTTTCTTTTAATTGGATTTGTACTCATTTCTTTATCGTCTGTGCTGCTTGTCTCAGATAGGTAAGCTCTCCTTGCACACAAAGGGCTGATTTTCAAATTTCATGCCGAACTGCGGACAAACGCGTTCTTCATTTCTTTTCTTGGTGGATTTTTTGTAATTTCCCGTAGTATTAGTCGCAAGATTATCTAGAAAATTCGGTGGTAATTGCGAGATTTCTGCTAGCTACATACTGAACTCTTAATTTTTCTGTGAAGATAAGCATTTGGAGTGGTTCGTTGTCAAAAAGAAATCTAACGGAAGTCTCTGAGAATGCTTGAAACGGTGATTTGTATTTCATTGCAGGTGATGGCGATGCAATTTTACTAAATGTTCGTTGTTCACGCCTTTCTGATAAGGCGTCTCTGCTTGCGGAACTACTAAATCAGAAGGTTGATTTTTTCACTTCTTTCTAATCGCCGCTTCCCCACCTTTTAAAAAAATCGTTGTGCGACTGATCCCAAACATGTGGAAAAAGCTCGCCATTCTGTCCTGCCTACTGATGCGCGAATGCTTCTACAGCACATCGGTTTTTTCAGAGAATTTTTAAATTTCCCCAGTTTTGCAGTATCCACTGGCATCTGGTGGAATGCGCCCTGAGCATGTAACTAAGAGTCACAAAGCCGAACAGTGGGCACATTGCGCGAAATTCGCCTTCCTGCTGAGTGTTTTTGGAAGCGCTGTGCGGAAATTCTTCGGGTACGTTTGTTAATAGTCGAATTGATGCACCGATTTGTTAATGCCTGCAATGCAACAGAATTTTCCTCGTTCTTTTTTTTCTTAAATCAAATTTGCGGAAGTATAGTTATTGGCATTCTCTTTTTCAGTTATTTCTCTCTTAGTGGAAATATTGTCTTACTGTGAATAGATGATTTCAGTATGGAGTCAAAGCTATTGTAATCTGCAGGAATTCAGTGAAAATTTTGAAAATTCTGTTCAAGTTAGAGTGTGTTCGATCAAATTCTGGCAGCATCATTTAATTTACTTTGGTGCCAATAAATATCACTGAATCACTGAATTCGCCAAATCACTGAATTCACTGCTAACGTCCCCATCGTGCCTGCCTAGCTTCTAAGCTCACTGCATACGCATAACCTTCAAAAGTCGAAAATCGCGTCCACATCTCTTACGAGTCGTTGAGGCCTCGTATGTAGCTCAGGTGGGAGTAAAGCATTGTAATCGTAGCAGTTGATAGTGCTGTTTTTGGTTTGCCTGGTTTGCTTAGGCGCCAACTAATGGAGATTTCGTTCCGCTGATGCATCAGCACATATCTTCCTTGGAAAGGGAGATTTTCTACCAGTGAAACCGAAATGTCCGTTCTAAACGTTTGAGTAGCGTTGCTTCTCAGCATACTGAACCCGCCAACAAGCGTCGTATGGCTTGTAACTAAACATAGAAGTTCAAATGATTTTACAGTTTGTCCGTTGCTTTTCCCGTTGTTCGTTTTGTACTGCCTGATACCATTCAGCCCTTTCGATTTTCACTCATCTTCACCACATAGGTAACTTGATTTCCCTCTGAAATGTACGATGTTAGGTATTAAACCCTCTCTTCCTGCTCTCCTCTCCGATGCGATATTTTGCTCCCATTGCATGGCCCGGAGGTAACAACAACAATCCGCCAACAAGGATGCCGATGGCTCCCTTGTAAATAAGTTGCTTTCTGATGGGTATTTATAACGTACAGTAGTTGAGTTAAAACCATTCCCGCATGTAATGGTAGTTGTTAAAATTGCCCTTCTTCTTGCTTAGTCGAATGTTTTCTTTTATTTACAATACGAGGTATCAAAAAAATTTTGAATATTTCGCATGGATTTTTCCAAAAACTTTCTCTTTTGCTTTGTTAAAATACCACTGACATTTTTAGCGCCGTTAGGCTGTGCTCTGTGGAGCGACTTTCTCGTTTGGCGCAACTACAAACAGATATTGCGAAGGAGGAACGTATGATCGACCAGTACATTGATTTGCTAAAAAGTGATAAATTCGATGAAAATACATCATGTGACAGTGTCGACAAAGGAATAGCATTCTTCGAGGTCTGTTGTATTTTTTTACCACTTGTCCTGGTTTTCTTCTGTGCTGCAGACTAGTTTTGTCTTGAATTACGAGAGAATGAAGATTTACGGTAAGCC